TGGTCGCCATTGATTTGCCGGCCGTGCTGTGAATGTAAGCGATCACATTGACCTTTCTTCGCCAGCTTTGATTCCAACAGCATTGACCGAACAAACAGCGTTGCAGACCTCCCCTGACCCATCGCGCACAGTTCTGCCTCGCCGGAAGACAGCGCCAGTGTCCCCTGAGTCCGGGCAGCGCTAACCATGTTGCACCCCAGGACATTCACAGTGGGTCCGCTGGTACTCTTGCGTGCAAGCTGATACGACGGTCGCAGTCTCAGCACACACATGTTCGTGCCAATCAGATAGCGTCGTAGGTGTTTTCACTTTGCGACACTTTGCATTGTTGGGGCAGTCACATCCCGACTCAGCTCTTCCGTAATGTCACCTCGCACCAGTGCAAGCCAAAGCAACTGCACACTGAGTGCTCCGCAGGACTCAGTGGCGCGTCTGGAACATGCTTGGTGATCGTGACAGTTCCAGTCGTTGCCACAGGCTTGTTTTCTCTTTGTATTTATCTTTCTCTTTCTCGTTCTCGTTGTCTTTCTCTCTCGCTTTCTCTAAAACGCTGTTGGCGGGTCCCTCCTCGACGGGTCGTGCTGCCTGACGATCCTGCTCACTCGAGTCCTGGCACTGTCTTTGAGGCTGGCCCTTGCCTTTTGTGCGGTTTTCCTCAAGCTGCCTGTTCTCGTCAAGAAACTTCACTACCACAGCTCCAGCGAGTGTCCTGAAGTCCGAAGTTCAGGAACTTTGACCATGAATATCCTTCTCACCAACGGCGAGCGCACGAGACGAGCCAGCTTGAACCGAACCTCGCCCAGCATCACCAAGACAATAGTTTTCCATCCAGTTTTTGGCTTGTGGACCTGGGAACATGGAGCCTGCAACACAGTAGAGGCAGCGACCAACTACGTGGTGTCGATGGACATCAGCACGGGATGTACAGTCAATCATCGATTTATTCTTGGAAGCTGGGTCGGAAAGCCCTCAGGCGTACCAATATTGTAGGAAGCAGCACAACGGAGGAAGCAGAGGCAGAAGGCCATCAAGCAGCGTGGTTCCGCCGACCCACAAGCTACGCTTTCCGCCACGACTTCAACTACGGGTGGATCTCACAGTCTTCGACCAGGTGTCACGCGAAGCCCCTACGTTCAAAGGCACCGTGAGCAGGCCATCCACTGGCGTCATCCACCGAACGACCCATGGTTTGACAACATGCGGAAGCCTTCTGAACAAGCGGACTGAGTGCTTCCGCAGGTAGGAACTCCGTATCCTCCACGCAGCTTTAAGGAATACTTCTCGTTGGAGAAGATGTCCTTTTCCCGCACACTTCTTTCCCATGCGTTGGAAAAGGTTCTTTCTCAAAGGTATTGCACAAACGTTAAATAACAGTTACTGCTGTTGGAGAAGATACTTTTCACGAGAGCAAGATGCGGTTTCTGTTCCCGCAAGGATGTCATGCTGGACATCCAGCTGAGCCAAGCTGCACACATTTATGCAGTAGGTTTCCTTCTGTCATTTTTCTCAAGAAAGTTTCGAAGCTGAAGATCCGTTTGCGTGTCGGGTGTGTGCTCGCTTAACTGAATTAATTCTATACGCTGTTTCGGCTGAGAACTTGTTGAATCTCACAATGGCTCGGTCCGTAGCTCATACAATGCTCCGCAACAATTCGCTCAAGGCAGCCATGCAGTTCAACCTGTTGTTACCTGCTACTGAATGTTACACATCCAGGTGACTGCCTGTTTTATGCATCACATGCATGTATCCATGCTTGCTCGAGGTTCTAGCAAAGTATCGACGTCAACTGTGAACCTCTAGAAAAGAGACTCCTGCGTGCGCGTAGGCCTGTACCTTTGCCAGGGTCTATACACGCCCAGGTTACATCTCAGAGCGGAGGGTGAGGGGGAGGGGGAGAGGGAGACGGAGAGGGAGCGGGAAAGGGTGCTCGTCTGGTAGGTGCTCGGCAGGCGGGGGCCACACGCACCACACGAGGGGTGCTGCCCGTGAACAAGGAGCCAACACCTCGGAACGCTGCAGACAAAATGCTGCTGCACTACTCCATGCATTGACAAACCCCGCACCTTCGCTTCGGGTCAGCTGGACCATGTCCTTCCAAAGGCTCCTCTGGCTCCGAGCGGCCTCGCCACTCCAAATCTGGAGAAAAGGAGTGGGAAATGGGCCCGGCGTGCCTGCACCTGGCGCCGCGTTTTCACGACGTCGAAGGGTGTGGTCACGAAGGCGGCGGCAGCCCCGGCGCAGGAGCTGGCGGCCAAGGCGACCAAGGGGCTCCGATAATTCGAGTCCCGCAAAACACCTGCAGCTTCGCTAGTGCTGGCACCCGTCATGCAAGCGTGCCATGTTGTCCCCAAAGCCCTGCAGGGGTGCAGGGGCCTCGCGCAAGCAAGGCATCGCGAACGGCCTCTACCCCAAGCCAGTAGAGGGCGCTGAAAGGCACATCCCGCCAGAGGGTGCTTTCCAGTCCACGAAAAAGGGCTCTCCAACCCTCATGCCTCAGGATCTCCTGACATCACACCAAGGCTCATGTCCGATCTCATGTCCGCTCCGGCAATCGTCCTGCAGGGCTGCTCCAATGCTAGGACGTCCGTTGCCGCCACCAGCCTGGGGGGAAGCATGAAGCCAAAGAAAGAAGAAAGGCCGGCGGAGAGAGATCGTGTCGGCCGTCCTGGACACGGGTCCTAACCACCTCCAGGGGAGCACAGGCACTGACCGCCACAGCACGACCAAAGCCGCCGGCGATCAAAGGAGCCAAGACTCCTGAGCAGAGCGGCACAGCAAACCCAGACTCCCAGACCCCCCGCAGCAGGAAGCGCCGTTCCGTGTCCGGTCCCGGCCTGGGCCCGCTGGAGCTGCAAACTGTAAGCCCAGAGAGCGTTGCGCGTCATGTTGCCTTGCTATGATGTAGTCCCGCATCGACTCGTAGGTCGCAAAGTAGAGCACGTTCGCGGGCACCGCGATAACCATGGTGACAGGAAGCCCCGCGTAGAGGCCTTTGACCCCTGCCTCCCTGTAGATGCTTCTCAGCGTGCTGAGCATGCGCGGCCGCATGCTCGGTCTCTGTGTGCTAAGGAGGTGCCGCCACTGGTGGCATCGCATGTCGAAGGTATGATCCGTTATGCCATTCCCACACACGAAGAAACGACTCGGAGCCTGAGAGGCCTGCGCCTGCATGCGCACCTCACAGGGCATGAAAAAAGAATGCAGTCGCAGTCGCCGTCAGTCGCAGGCGTCGCTCCTTGGCCACGTCCAAGGGTGTGACAATGAGCCCGACAGCCTCGGACAGGAGGGCAGGGACTCGGAGCTGCCGAGTCGTGTCGGAGCTGAGGGACGGACCACCGAGCCTTGTGGCCAGGCACAGGCAAGAGCGTCGTGCAAACGTGGCATATGCGAGCCGAGCGGGGCATGGCCTGCACACGCTGAGAGCAGTCGACCAGCAGCACCCACTCCGCCGGTCACTTCCATGTTCATGGTCAAGGACCTGGCACGGGCCAATGCAAAGTGTGCAAAAAGCACACCTCGGAGTCCCAAAGCACAAAGCACCTCCAAGCCGTGAGTTCGCTGGTCGCGAGGAAATGAGGCAGGCACGACATCAGAGCGGCGAGAGCGGCCCTAAGGCGAAAAGCGAGAGACTACAGCTTGGCATAGCTTGGCTGATGCTGGTCAAGTCAGCTGCAAGTCATGGACGTGCACTTTTCATGGCCGCCCCCAAACTTCATGGCTTCATGGAAAGGTAGGGCTAGGGCTAGGGGTCTGAATTATGGAAGCGCCTTTGCCCAGGCCGTGAGATCCCGAAGCAGCTGCGTTAGCAGAAGCCCCGGAGCATTACCAGCTCACAAGAAGGACGCAGAGCGTGAGGCACTGATTCAGCTCCCTGCCGTCCTCCGGGCTGAGAGAAGTCCCCCTCGTAGATGACACCTCAGCGCGCAGGGGATCCGCATGAGCATGAGCTGCATGAGCAGCATGCTGCGCCGGGTCCCGGGCCGTTGGGCAGCGAGGCCCGGCCTTTTGGGGCACGGAGGCCCCGGTCGAAGGTTCCCTCGAAGCAGAGCCCCCCCTTGCAGGCCGCAGGCGTGCAGGCTTTCTGAACTGTTTTTCGGACCAACTGGCCGCCGGAGCCTCTTCCCAGAGCGTGCCACCCTCGCCATGCGGCACCGCCTCAAAAAGGCAGACTCGAGATGGCTCAGGTCTCAGTCTCGTTTTTAGGAGGCCGAGGAGCACCCGGCAAGCAGGGTCCGTGGTAGCGCGTGCCATCGGCATACCAGATCTGACAAAAGCGCACTCGGCCGGGCTCCCGCCCTGCAACGGCGTCATCGCCTCAGCGTCGTCGTCGGGACCACAGTGCTGCAGGTCTGCAGCGTCCTCCCACAATAACGATGGCCACATGTTGTGAAGGCCGACTGGGGACAAGATAGCAGAGCCCGTCCAGGCCGTACATCTCGGCCTTGGAAACGTGAAAGCACTCCCCCCTTCAGCCTTTGAAGGAGCTGCCTTCTGTCAGCTTTTTGCAGAACCGGGCCACCGCCAGGTCTTTCGGCGCTTTGCCGGGTCCCTGGTGAGGCCTCAGGGGCGCAAAACGCCGCAGGAGGGCAGCATGTGTTTCTTGGGCCGCCACCCGACGCCGGCTTCATTCTGCAACCTTGTGGTTTTCTTAGCTGCGGGTCGAGTTTCGCTCCGAGTCTCCCGGTCTCCGGCACTGGGAAGTACTCGTGCAGCGCCATGCCATCTCGCTCGTCCACGAGAATTAAGCTCCTCTTGGGCTCGCGGACTTCGCCTCGCGAGCAACGCGAGTCCAGTCGCGAGATTCCGGCAGCCAGAGCTCAGGATGCTCAGGAGACCACTCTGACCAGAAAATTGTCCTTCATAGCGAGTGATTGCCTGTCACCGCACAGAGGCCGAGGACTTTTGGACCCTTTAAACCGACTCGGGACCCTACCCACGGTCGATGCTTCTGCACCCACTCCAGGCTGCCATCCTTGCTCTGCCGAATCTGCCCACCGCTTAATGCAAGGAAACTCCTGCGGTCCTCCTCCACAACCCAGAGAATGCCCCGACCGCTAAACTCCTCACAAAGTTCTTTCGAGAAGCCTTCAAAATGCAAACCTCTGGCCGTCCTCTCGCTGGAAGTGGCCACTGTAGGCGCGAGAGCCCGACGGCTCCTGAAAAAAGCGATAGAAGCCTTCGCCTGAAAGCCAAAAAGGATGCACAAGACTCACGCCAAACACACCAGACTCAAATTCAATCAATTCAATCCCCTTTAAAGGAAGGATCTTCCGAGGCCGCAGACCATGCTTCATGCCATGCGCCCACTGTCCCTTGTAGATGACCTGCCTGAGACGGAGACGGAGAGGAAAGATGTCAGCGCAGCCTGGCAGCCTCAGAACTAAGGTTCCCGGCCCCTCGGGATCCTGCAGCTGCCCAGTACCGTGGTAAACATGGTCCTCCCACTGCCCGAAGTAGCGCGTCCCATCCGGCCACAACTGATCCCCTTCGCCATGGCGGTACACTACCCCCGGCAGCCGCGGGTGGTCACGGACATCCCCTATGTAGTGGAAGATGTGGAGCGGTGGGGTAAACATTCCATACTCTTCGATGACCTTAGCCCAGACCTCTCCGTCGTCCTTTCCAACCCGAAACACCAAAGGTAAGCTGGGAGCTGTGGCTGAAAGAGAGGCTCTTGGGCTGACTCTTGGGCTACCTCTCGGGCTGGCCCTCTCTGCACGGAGGGGCCCAGGAGTCAGCTGCAAGGGATTCTGCCCACACTCCGTATGCTCCCCAGCCTCCACCGCCTCGGGCTCTGTGGCAACGGAGCTGGAACTTGGGGTGCTCGAGACCCCGTGCAGCGTCAGCAAGCACTCGTCATCCTCATGCCCACGTAGGCCCCGGGACACCTCAATGCGATCCAAAAAAACGAAGGGGATCCGGTACTCCAGAGCATCACCATGGTCAATCGCCGCGGCCGCACCCGCCGCGGCACCCGCCGCGGCACCCGCCTCTTCCTCCTTCTGCAGGACGTAGCTGACTTGCCGGGAGTTGAGGCGAAGCAGGCAGGGTCTCCAGAAGTTCAGCCCCTCTAGGCTCGGGTCGCTCTCCGAAGCTGAGGGCCCGGAGAAGCCTAATGAGGAGCTGCTAGAAGAGTTCGAGGAAAGGAAAAGGCTGGCGGCGTGCGCTGCAAGTGGATCGGGGCGCCAAGCACGGCGCCCCGGCTTCAAGTCCTTGGAAGCGATGACGTAGTGCAGGATCCGGCCTTCTCTGAAGCATCTTGAGTCACAGAAACGCTTCGTCCCCAAGCAGTCGTCTGTAAAGATTCCTGGCACCAACAGCTTATCCACTTCCTCTTCGAAAGCCCCTCGGCCTGGATTCCCTGCAAAAAAAAGAAGATCTAAGATGCCATGCGCCACCAAACTTCCGGCTGCAAGCTCTTCGTCCAAGAATTGGAGAACCTGGGATTGCCAGGTGGCGACGAGCTTTGTGCTCTCAAACGTCTCATTTCGCCAGTGCTTCCACTGGCCACGCCCATCGTGACTTCCTCTTGGCTGGCTTGTGGCTGTGGGTCTCCGGGAATCCAAGCCCCAGGGCAGGAAAAGCGAGAAGAAGGAGTCATGGCGATTGCAAGAGGATGCCCAAGGGCGGCCAAGGTGGTTCACCACTTGGATCGTTGCAACGACTTGGGGAAGCTCTTCCACCCCAACGACCTGCTCCCGCGTGCACGCAACGGGGATCGGATCCCGAAGCGCAGAGCCGAAACCACGTAGCGACTGCATGCGGACGCCAGAAGCAGCTGAAGCAGCTGGAGCGCCTGAAGCGGGCAGACTCTGCCTCGGCCTCGCATCCGTGAGGCCTGGCGGTGTGGGCTCGAAGAGGACGAAGAGCTTTCGGAGCCCTTGGTGTCGTCGCTGGTTGGTGCTCGGAGCCTCCTGGCCCGGAGCTCCACCAACCTCCGAAGTTTGCATCCCCCAGAGCTGCAGGCCCAACATCCGCACTACGAAGAGCAAGTTGGGTGCCTCACCGGCAAAGCCCCTGTCCACTGCCTGAACGATCCCATAATCCGGATATGGATGGTCGCTTGACGAGATGCCCAGCACGATGAGGGCCGCTTGCTTGTTCCACTCCTCTGCAAGATGGAGTCTCCACCCCCGAAGGATTGGTCTTCTCTTTAGAATCTTCCACAGAAAGAGCCGAGCAGCTGGAAGAAGGCATCTGAGAAAAGACTGGTACAGAAGGAGAAGAGAGATCAAGACATCCATGGCCTTCGATAAGCCAGTGACCTTTCGCAGAAAAAGGCTCAGTCCCAAGAGCAGCTGCAGCCACGGCAACCAGGACATGTCGGGAAATGCAGGAAAGCCGCTGTGCGGATCCCTTCGGCCCAAGGTCACCTCCTGCGCGTAGGACGCGGAGATCCCAAGGCCTCCAAGGCTCCCGCTGCCGCCGCTGCCGCCGCTGCCGCCTCCGCCTCTGCAGCGCAGGCGAAGCAGCGCGGAGAGCAAGGGCCAAAGCAGCAGGCCCAACGAACCCTTGTAACCCTCCCCGTCCAGAAGAAAGACACAAAGCAAGCTGAAAAGCCGGTCAAGGGAGTCGACTTGCAAAGCCAAGAAAGGGCTGGAGATTCGCAAGTTGTCACTTCCCGTCCCTGCCCCTGCGGCCGCTGGGCAATCTCGGCACTTGGGGCAGCTGCCAAATGAGACGAAGAGAGGCCGCCAGCGTTCCGACAGAGGCAAGGCCACGTTCTTCGACGGAACCGCGAAGCCAAAGCTGGGCAGCCACCGGACCATGATCTCCAAATGCCTCAAAGGCAACTTCACCATCACCATGTTCTCCCGAACCTGGAAGGTCGCAAGTTCGCGCTTTGAATGCATGGCGGCATGGCATGGCATGGGGCACATGCCTGAAGACGCCGGACGGCATGCTGAACGCGCGAGGCCGGAGGCCGGCGAGGCGACTGCGAGTTGCAAAAAGCAGTGCATCCTCTTCACTCGCGTCGTCGCGGCGTCGCTGCTTTTGTCTGGGCCCCCGGCCAAGCTTTCGCTCACGCGAATCGGAGGTCGCCGGGAGAGCTCTGGCGGCCTCGGAGCCGCCGCGCAGCCGCATGCCGCGCTTCTCCTTCCCTCCTGCGCTCTCTCTCTGTTCTCAGCTGCTCGCGCCCCAGGGTTCGGGTTCTCCCCGCAGCCGCGTACCTGGAAAGGGAGAATAGCTTCTGCGAGCTCTGCTCGTGAGGTCGGCGGGCACATGAAAGCGGATGACACCGAAGCTTGCATCTAAGAAGTCAGGGACCAGCTCCTGTGGCGATGCCCCTGGCCCCCTGCCCTCACCACGCTAAGCCGCTAAGTCCGATCTCCACCTCATCATAGAATGGCATGTCATCAGAATCCAGCAGCTCCTCATGAAGGAACCTGAGCTGAGTCGGCTCTGTGCCCACGCTGGCCCATGGGTCCATGCACAGTGAGCCGGCCACGCCAGAATCTCATGTGAGCCGAGGCCGTCAACCTGAACCCATGTGACACCGAGCACGCAACGCACGCAACGCCAGAAGGCTCGACGCTCCCAAGAAATGAGGCTCATGGCTCAACACACAACGACCCAGTACTTCTGCGTCTGTCTTTTCAAGCGGAGAGTTTCACAACCGCGCCAGCACGTGCCCCATGTGCCTCTTTACTGCGGCCCTGAAGAGTCGCTCTGACACGTTGCGACGTCGCCGGAGGAATGCGCAACGCCTCGTGAAGCTCCACCTCGCCTGGTGCGCATTTCGTTCATATGCTGAAGCTTCAAAGCTCGCCTGATTGCGAAGGCGGTCACGTCGCGAAAGCATGGGCGTGACGTCTTTCCCTTTTTTCCGGAAGGCCGCGAACCGAACCGCAAACCGGAACCGAAACGCCAGGAACCGTCCACCGCTGTGAACCGCAAAAACCGCGAACCGCTGGACCGACACACAAAGTCGAACTGCGCGAACCGAACCGCATTTCACTCCATCCATCCCTCCAGGCACTTCCCTCCAGCCCTCCTCCATCCAACCCTCCATCCAGCTCCTACAGCCTTCCATCCCCCCCCAACCCTCCATCCACCAACACTCCATCCAGCCTTTTGAGAGCGCCTAACGTTCCATCTAGCTCCTGAGCGCTCCAGCCCTCCATCCAAGCCAGCCCCAACCCTCCATCCACCAGCTCTCCATCCAGCCTTGTGCGAGCCCGTTCCAGCCAACCCTCTATCCAGCCCTCCTGTTGGCTGGATGGAGGTCAAGGAGGGCTGGATTGGCAGGAGGATGGAGGGCTGGATGGCCGGATGGACGGATGGATGGATGGAGGGCTGGAGGGGGGTTGGTTGGAGGCTGGAGGGCTGGATGGATGGGAGGCTTCAAGGGGCTGATGATGGAGGAGGGCTGGATTGAGGGCTGGATGGAGGGGGGCTGGCTGGAGGTGGAGGGCTGGATGGAGGGGTTGAAGAGGATAGAGGGCTGGATGGATGGATGGAGGGCTGATAGAGGCTTCAAGGAGGGCTGGTTTGCTGGAGGCTGGAGGCTTCAAGGAGGGAGGCTTCAAGGGGCTGGATAGAGGGGGGTTGGGTGGAGGGGGCTCAATGCATGGAGGGATGGGTTAACCAAACACGGAACCGCAGGAAGAACCGCAGCGAACCGCGCGAACCGAACCGAATCAAACCCCATCTGAAAAACCGAAACGAACCGAAACGAAACGCTGCTTTACTGTTCTTCTGCCCTGCTAAGACACACGGAGTCTGTGGCTGCATGCTTTTTGCGTGGCCAGCATATGCCAACTAACTTTCTAGTAAATCCGTAAAGACAGAGCGCAGGCAGCGGAGGCACCGCGCCTGCTGCTGCCAGGGCTGGGGAGTCGTCACCAGCTTGTCGAGGCGCTGCGATGCACGCCTCGAACGGTCGGATGGGGTTTTTGGGCTATCGACTTGCAACGGCGCAACCATGCGCTCCCACCGAGACACGGACGCTGCCTCGCGCGGAGTCCCAGAGGGTGCCCTGAAGCTGCGCCGCTCCAGGACCTAGACGAGAGGAAGGAGAGGAACGGAAAAGAGTGAGGTGTGGCTGTTTTTGCGCATCTCCCCACCGCGAGGGCCATCTCCATCAAGACTGCATGCTGCAGCTCCTGCAGAGGTGTAACATGCCCGTCCGCCGTTCGCTGTTCCTCGAAACTTGGAGGATCGTGTTGCTCAGTAGCTACATAGGCGAGTTGGGCCTGCCTACTGCCTAAATGTGCATCACAGATAAGATATTTCGACGCATTGGTGCTCCAATACAGTTCAACAGTGACAACATCTTAATACCAGGAAGAACCCAGCTATATGATAAAGAATGTTGCTGCAGGTTTCTGAGAACATGAAATATTGAACGAATACGGATCTGAAGCTTTTTCTTAATCTATATAATTTGTTAAAGCAGTACTTGGTCGTAGTCGCAGAATTCACCGAAGATCAGTTAGCTACTATATGGGAGAGCACAAGTGCGGAGAAGTGCGGAGGAAAGTCAGACGAATGATCGAAACTCAGGTCAGGAGCCGTCAGGCAGTGTTCCGATTCGTCGCTCCCACGCCGTGGGAGCACACGCCGCGGCACCGGTTCACAAGCGGCTCTGCGTAGCCAAAGATGATTCGCGCAATTTCGGCAGGAACACTTCTGATGAAAGGAGCGAACATGTTTGACAAATCTGCGGGTCGAAGCTAATCCGTATGCTGCTCGAACCTGAGACAGCAGCTTTGAGACTTTGACCTCCCGCGACGGAAATTTAAAACATTGGGACCCTCTTGGTTTTGGGACTGTGGCAGAGCACAAGTGCTGAGAGGTCCCAATGTTTGGGATATATGGGAGCACAAACCATTGTGACCTCTCATGGTTGTGAGCGCCCTGGCATGCGAAAGTGCGGAGAGGTCCCAATGTTTCGGACGTATAGGAACGCAAAACGTTGGGACCTCTCATGGTTTTGAGGACTGTGACGGAAAGCACGAATGACAAGATATCGCAGAATGGGTGGTGCTGAGACTATGGTACAAAAGGGCCGTGGCATGCCAGGAGCGCACAAATACGAGCAGCTACGCCTGCAAGAGAAGGCAGCTCGAAACACGGCAGAAACTGCTTACATCTAGGGAGGGACATGAGAGGCACTTCAAGAGCCTCCCTATCCGCAATGGGTGCGCTGCGAGGGTCACGTCCAAGCAGTGACTGCAGGCTCAGGGCAGGCAGAAAAGTGGGACTGTTCGGAGCACGTGTGCCAACCAGGACCCTGGATGACTTGATCAGAGAACACAAGGAAAGGGTGGGTACATGGGGGGGGCACCACATATTTCTATATGTGTGTGGGTAATGTTATATCCCACCCCCCCTGCATGTTCTGGATGTCCAACTTGGAATCTCTTAATCACTAAGTTTTCTCTTCTGTATGTGACAATGTGGTTATAACTTTTGCGTTTGGTTATAACCAACAGGGCGCCTGAGCCACTAAGCCAATCAACCATTAAACCAATCCTTTTTCTCCATACCACTAGACCATCAAACCATTAAACCAATCCCTTTCCCCTAATGAACCTAGACCCATCCCGAAATCGTGAAACCATTGAACCCTCAAAGCATTAAACATTTCCACCAGTGAGCCTAACACACCAAGACATACAATACAGAGGCCAGTAGGATTGGTTTAATGGTTTAATGATTTTTGCCTCCGGTGCCTTATAGGCCAAATAGATTGGTTTAATGTTTCAATGACCTAGGCCCCCGGTGCACTTCACTATGGGCCAAATTGATTGGTTGAATTGTTTAATGGTTAGTTTAATGGTTTAATGGCGGATCTACGGGCTGCCTACCATGCAGCAGTCCTGGTTATAACCAGAGACACACATTCATCCGAAGACCCCCACCGTGCCGCCAAAAGGGCTGGTTTAATGGTTTAAGTGGAGCCAAACCCTCAGCAAAACGTAAACCCAAGATTATAATGGTGAAATGATCGGTTTTCTCTGTAGCTAGGAAAACGGCGGTCTGCGGTGTCTGATGGTGTCTGCAGGTTTTGTGGTTTCGGGCCCTACTCGCATTGGTAAACCGTATCGGAACGGGGAGCTTGTAAAGCAGGGCTGTGCTTCACAAACTTGGTCCCGTTACACAACAGACCTTACTCTGTTTCATCGCTACTTCATCAACACCTTAACCCAAATGTTAGAGCTTTCGGCGCTTCAGCAAGAATGCAACCGCAATGGAGTTCAGCAAGGACTGGGAGAATAGATCATCCTAGGCATTCGACTTTGTTCGATTTTTTGAGGCATGATGCACTGCTTTGTAGCAAACATATTTAATTAGCATGTTCTCCAGACCATATGCGTATTCCCGCGACTTTAGCGGAAAGGCGATATAGCGGACTTGTCATAATGGTCTGTCCGTTCCAGTACTTCGGGCTTACAAGAGCAAGTTATTCCGACCCCAAACGAAGACACCGCAAAGTTAGGGTAAGGAACGAAGGAGAACGGAAGGGAAACCAACAAGGGAGCCCCAACCCAGAACGCAGCACAGACCTCAGGTACGTGCTTTTTCATGTTTGAGCCAAACGTCGAAGGTCGTTGGCATCGTTCTACATAATCAGATAACTTGACATGGAGGATCATCGAGATTCTCCAACTCCCCCCTTCTGATTTGTAGAAGCTTGATAGACTATACAATGCATGATGGAGGTGATCAGTCTCCAGATTAATTTGAACTCGAGGAAGCGATGGCTCTGACCTACCGTCGATTCCCCGTGTGATGCTTCTCTCGTGGCGCATGAGCAGCCTAACAGAGAGAGAAACACACTGACAAAGAAGCCGTCACGACATCTTCAGACGCAGTGCTCAGCAAAGAGTCAGGTGAAGAGAAGCTTAGCTCCTCAATTCACTCACAAACACAACTTTTGATGAAGTGTTGATCGCAGCACTGCTCAACTGACTACGAAACCCTAATACCTTGATATGCTCAGTCCACATCTGGAAGCCGAATGGTGGCGATCGAAAGAAGTTCGAGGGCCCGTGACCATTTTTGCAGGGGAAGGATCTTTGTGAGAGGATCCCCTCGCTGGCTATCAGTGTTGATGTAAGAAAGCAAGATATTGGGATTAAGGTTAACGAGTTCGCAGGTGGCGGCTACGTTAACACGGTGGGTTTTGGCCAGGTGCCGAAGCTTGGCCGAAAATCCTTTGCGGACGATGGCGATACACGCCTGGTTATCCTCATAGACGTGGAGCTGGATGTCTGGGACAGTGATTCCCATACTTCAAGCATCGGAACAGCATCAGAGAAGAGAGCCCCGCTCAGCGAAACAAACTCGGCCTCGGTACTGGACCGTGACACAACCTTCTGGCGCTTGCTCGACCACGACAACAAGGCAAAGCTGGAAGGGCCTTCAATTGCCAAGACATAACCGCTCGTGGAACGGGAAGTCTCTATGCAACCAGCGAAGTCTGAGTCACAATATAAAGACAATCGCAACTCAGATGGAGGATCGTTGATACACAAGATCATTGCGTAGTCGACGGAATGCAGAATGTAACCGATGAGTCGATGAACCCGGCGGTCATCATTCTTGGACCAGCTGCAGACGTGCGATGCAAGCATCGTGACTGCCACGATCAAGTCAGGACGACTTAACCTTGCAAGCCATAACACCTTCATTAAGATTCTCGCCGCGGCTTCCGTGAGTTGCCCGCGGCAATCGTCGTCTGCTGCAGGTAATGTGCTGATGTCGAGATGGGGAGTAAGCTGGGGTTTAACCGTTAGCGAACACACAGTCTCGTACAATTGGACACACTGTTTTGCGAAATCTGCGGATTCAAGTGCTAACGCTTTCTTTTCTTGCCAGCAAACGAACCTGTGGCATCTTCCAGGTACCCTTGACAGGGCTGCATACGGCTCGAGCTCAACCTCCTTGGAGAGGGAGCGCCAAAAGCCGTCGTGCAGCGACCGACGCCCAGATAAAGTCAAATCGTCAACGTAAACGCATACGACTAATCCTAGGGACTTGACGAAGTAAACCGAAGGGAGATTTGGGAATTCAACCCCACCCAGCTTCAGCAGTATCTCGTGGAGATGCTGCTGCCAGTAGGCGGAACTTTCTGGATGCCCATACAGCGCTTTGTGGAGGGGCGCACAGGGTTGGAAGATATGCTTCTTGTCAGGTGGGACTAGCTCGGGAGGTAGAAGGACGTGCTGTGCTTTGTTTTGGGCTTGTGTGTAAGCTCGCACTGCATCGCTGGTTGTCACACCGGGGACTCCAGCAAACCGAAAGCCACCGCTGTGTTCAATCCTTCCAAAGAGGATGGAGATGACGCAAACAGTTCCTCAAAGACAGCAGACATGCCGGATTGGTCCCGGATGTCATCACCCCTGAAGACGATTCTTGCCTTGAGTCGCCACTGATCTGGACTCAGCCCAGACCCTTTCACGGATAAAATGACCATCAAATTTCCGAAGTGGATCAAATTAGAAGTCCTAGTGGCCCATGCAAGAACATCCTTTTTGGAACTATCTCATCTTCAAGCCACGTCCCAACACCGACAAGGCCATCTTTTTCTTTCTTTATTGCCTCGTCGGCCCCTGGTTGCCCCGACCATTCTTTTCTATCGAGAAGAAGGTGAACTAAACCCGGAAGCTTAACCTCTTTCATCCCAGACTCATGCATAAGAACATCAAGAGGAACTTTGGGTTTAGAATCCTTTTCACGATGAAGTTGTGGAGTAGAAGGAACACACGGAAGCGCAGGCGTCTGAAATGCCTCTGCAACAGGGAATAGAGACATGAGCAGCACTTTGTAGAAAGCCTCAGGATAGAACGCTACCCGTGCTCGATGAGCAATGCTTGACATTTGAAGCATGAGTACACTTGAAAGGCTTGAAGTTCTCGATCAAACGCTTGCTCGAAGTTACGATCTGCCAAGGAGCATCAAATGGAGCTCCAGACGTTGAAACCATACCGAGAGCACAACCCTTGAACGACACCCTGCGAAGGCTGAACTGATCCTCGAAGGCTTGAACTTCGGGAAGCAACCAACACGAGGAGTCTTGAGGCCATTCAAGAGACACCTCGCCGCCATTTGCGACGACAACTGAAGCAACCTGAAG